TTGGTTACTATAATTTACTAAATATATTTGTTACTAATTAATACTATATATTAATAATTATTGTTAAATAATGTTAAATGATAATAATTAATGTTATGAATTGATAGTTATGTTTGTATAACTAAATATCACATGAACACGTGATCTTGTACTACTATTTCGCGACTAATTAATATGTGTTACAGGCTATAAATATTTGCTACAAGTAATTATTAAATTGTTACTATTTGTTACATGAACCAATATTAAATTCTAAATATTATTTTAAAGATTATTATAAATTATTACAGATGTTTTTAATATTATTTTATCATTATATTTCATTCTGTAACAACGCCCCGCATCTCACTGGTCGAAAATTGATAAATAATATACATATCGGATACCCGATATATACATGGTACGTCTCTAATATCAGGCATATATCGGGTAACTGATATGTGTAGAAAATATTTTTTTACACTTATCGGGTATTCGATTTATATATAAAATATTTTCTATATCTATCGGGTACCCGATATATGCCCGATATTAGGGATATACCATGCATATATCAGGTATCCGATATGTGTATTATTTATCAATTTTTAATCAGTGTTAGTAAAATTTTAAATAAGGAAATTTGTTGACACACTTTTATAAAAAAGAATCAAAAAGTCAAAAAGCTCCACAAACTTTTCAGTATAATAGGTATGGATAAAATTTATCGAATACATTTATTTTCTGCTAATAGTATCTCAAAAATAACAAATAAAGATATTCAATATATTATAGATAATATATTATTTGACTATAGTATTAAGATAGAATTCACCTTAAAATCTGAATTCTCTGAACTGAGTTCAAAAAGTGATTGGCAAATTTCTTATGAGAAGAAAAATAAAGATTCAGAAATAGGGATAAGTACTGTAATCACTTCCTCTATCTAGTCATTGAATATCTCCAATTCAGAAGATATAATAAGTGATGGTAACAAATCTTTATCAGAAACTATGATAAATATATTTACTGAATCTGTTTTTATCATTTTAGAAAAAGTTCCAGAAACTGAGATAAGTAATACATCCATTCTATCTATTTCAGAAATGATTTCAGAAGAATTAACTGAGATACAGACAAGTGTATTTAATGATTGTTTGGATTTTAACTCAGAATTATTTAATAATGAAAATTATTATGATAATAAGTTAGAAAATCTCTCAAATAGTTATACTGGAGATAATAAGATAGAAGATATAGATTTCACATGTTCAAATGACAAGAGTGAAGTAGTATATTATTATGATCTAAATAATAGAAAAAAAATCTCAAAAAAGTTCATATATAAGATATTTTGTATAATCACATATATATAGATTAATACTTAATTATTAATATAAAATAAAAATAACAAATAATTGATAACTTTATTGATAATAATTGTATATATTTTTTACACTATATTACAATGTAAAAGGTTGGCCTTGTAGAATTATTCATGGACTAGAGGCAAAGAGAAAGAAATAAAACATGAAAACATGTCTGCTGATCTTTTGAAAAATTGATATAAAATACAAATGGTAAAATTAACTCTAGATATTGTTAAAGAAATTGTATGTAATAGGGGAGATAAATGTCTTTCTGAAAAATATATCAATAGTAAGGTTCCAATACTTTGAAAATGTACTAAAGATCATTTATGATCTGCAAACTTTAATTACATGAAAAATAAAAAAAATATGGTATCCACGTTGTGCGGTCAAAAATCAGTGCACTCGAATGATTAAAGATATGAAGAAGTTTGTAATAAAAAAGGGAGATCTTTACCTTGCAACTGTGTATATTAATAGATGGGATCCTCTTGAATGGCAGTGTTGACCGTGATTACCTTTATTAAACATGATTAACTAACAACTGATAACAGGAAAACTATTGTCCAAAAGATCACAAAGCAATTGGACAAATATGTTACAGTTGGAAGGTTTTATACTTGAAGAGGTATAAGGGATAAAGGATTTGAGGTTACAGGTTTGTTCGAAAGAGGCTAAGGTGTGAGGTTTTTTAAAGGGATATGGGGTTTAAACAATATGACACTAAGTTAACTAATATTCACATAGAATATTATAAGTTTCACACAGAAACTACAAAAATTCACACAGAGTTAATATAATTAACCAAGATCACAAAGCAAGGTTAATTATAGATACAATAATACCGAGATCACGAAGCAGGGTATTATTTATTAAAAAGTATTTTACTAAGAAATCAAAGGTTTCAAATTATTATTTTGTCACAAAGACTTTTATTAATAATTTATTTATATATTGAGTTCAGAATGTATTCAAGTTCTAACTGTCCTAACTCTAAGGACAAAAGCTACCTCTATTTATATAAAATTGCCAT